GTTACCAAAATTTGCAGCAGGTCCTTGCCTACTGAAGAGAGAGGCTAGGGTGCAAAATACAGAATTACAAGGGTAAATACTTATGCATACGAGGTATCCTAGCCAAATTGGGGCACCCCAATGTGGTTTTACACAGGATTCTTGTGGGTTTTAAATGTTCAAGTATAAGAAAATTTGACTAGTCGCTGACATCCACAGTACTGAATACTAATTATAGTAATACTTTGCAAAGCACCTATATTTCTTGCTGATTTTCAACTGATCCAGACATTCTTGAAGTCGGACTCACTTTAGTTATTTATCTATGATGCCAGCAAATGATGGGAGGATTTCAGAGAGGTGTTAGAGGGGCTAGGATGCTGTTATCAGGCATATATTTTATCCTTTGTGGACAACTCTGAGCTTCCAAGGTATAAAATTATTATTTACAGAGCTGAGCTGTCCTTTACTTTCTTTTACATAAGCATGAACAATACCAAAGTCTTCCGTAAAATTCCACTACCTTGCTGCATTGCAGTGTATAATGTGAAATATACATTAACAAAGTTAATATACTTCAATACTACAAAGACTGATTGATGTAATAGTTAAGGAAGAGAACTTACATAACAAGTAAATGTGAGCCTTGTGGTAAGAATGCACCTGGTTATGAAAATTTAGGCTATGTGAGTAGTAGCTGTCAGAAAGCTTGTTAGCTTTCTGAAAGCTTAAAATCCTGTCTCTCGAGCAGCTTAAACTTTGAAGCTGTAGACTGTGAGCAACATGTACTTAAAGACTTTTGGTTTCTTAGGTTTATAAAAATGAGATACTGACATTTCTTATGCTAGGACAGAATTTCAAAAGGCTGAATGCAAAGTAGGTACCCAGTGCCTGCTTGATCTTGGTGAGATTTGAGAACAAGTTTTCCTGACTGCTTCAGAGCTCCTTATCCAATCCTGGCACAGGTTTCTCAAGAGACAGTGGTGGAAATCAGGGGTGTGTTGGACCACTGTTAGCCTCCCTAGGGGAATAGTGATTATGTTGAGACCTGGGAAGAGGGACAGGGGTAATCCTTGCCTGCTCCAGGGGCCAAAGGACAGGGCTGGCTTCTGCAGGTGCTTTGTTGATGCAAGAGAAGGCAGTGGCAGTAGTGGCCCCAGGGCTGGCCTTGCTGATATCAAGTAACTTCATGCTTAATGCATACAGTGACATCAGTGTAGTTTAGGGCTGCTATGAGAAAGGATGCCAGGAACTCAAGACCAGTTACCTAGAAGGGTGAAAATTTCAGCATGCAAGTGCAAGGACCAAACATGCAGGCTTTAAATAACTTAAGGTGAGGCAATGTTTAACCAGACACCTGTGATCTTTTTCAAGGGTATGCTACGCATGGATACAGACAAGATGATGCTTCTGTCTGCCAGTTGCGTTTTGCCATCGACCTTGAATTGACAAAAAAGGAAACTAAATATTTGCTATCTAGAAAATGCTTCATTAAAATGCTCACTAATTTTAGTAATGTGTTTCTGCTTGGTAAGGCCAAGTACATAGGTGAAATAGCAATAAGCATAGTGTATGACACAGTCTTGAATTGGGGTCAGGCCCTCCTGAAATTACAGGTAAGAAATAATGTGCAAAAATCAAATAAATATGTCCAATAGCTTTTTATGTGTTGTCATTGGGATTCAGCACCTTTACTGAATTTTGCAAAACCCCTTTCCTCTCTTTCTGCTTCCTATTTCAGTGCCCCCAAAACTTAATCTTGTAATTTCTTGATGAAAGTGCCACACTTCTGTCACCCAAATGTTCTTCTAACAGCTTTTATTAGTGTAGTGTAGGTTTCTACTTACAAGCTTTGGGAGACAGAGGAATGTGTTTCAGTTCTCATATGTATAAAGAATTGCAGATGGGCAGAGTGACTTATTTTATTTGTAATTCTGTGACTTTTGTAGCACAAGGAGTTTAGTCCAGTGATTAGAATGGGCCTATGTCATAGAACCTCAGGGTGCTGAGGCTGGAGGAGGCCTCTGGAGACCTTTCAGTCTCACTCCCTGCTCCAGCAGGGTCAGCCACTGAAGGTTGCCCGGGTCTGTGGTCAGCTGGGTTTTGCTTATTTTGGACGTGCGGGGGCGGCACTCTCTGCAACAAAACAGCTTTCCCCAGAGTGTAGAATATGCTTCAGCTCTTCCCAAGCTGCTGTTAGTGACAGTGCCTTGGAAGCGCTTTTAAGCTTAAGGAGAAGATCTGGGATTTGTGGCTCTTCTGTTTGGTGCTGTTTTGCCACTGAGGGTTATCACTCAGCATCCCAGCTGTAGATTGGAGGGGGAGTGGTCACATGCGTTATGAATGTGAAGAATTACAGACTGTAAGAAAAGAATCAGACTGCAGTAGGCAACTCATCACTGGGTGGGTTGTGATTAAGATGCCAAATATTTGCTTTTATCCTCACTACTTGACTGAAGGGAGTCACAGGAGTTCTTACTTTTGTATAGTTCTCTTTCACCCCTTCTCATTTCTGTATAAGCAGCTCTGCATTTGGCAGGACTGTCGCCATCGTGTTAATTCTCTAGCTTTGCAACTGACTCAGTTCTTCTGTATGCTTTCTGCTGATTCAGAGCTACTCATTCTGTCCTCTTACTCCTATGTCAAATCCTCCCCCAGAAAACTCTGCTTCTCGTTAATAAGAGCTCTAAGAGCCTTATTATATTTTCCTACTTTCTCAAAGGGGCAACAAAAGTTGCCCAGTGCATGGTAAAATTCTAAACAAGCAAAATTCCCCAAACTGCTTCAAAATATGATTGTTTTCATCTCTGGTAAATGGCTTGTTTTACTATGTTTTGTTAAAAAACCCTCCCATGACTACAGCTAAAGTAAATAGTTTGAGTCAAAATGTAGCCTTGTAGGCTTTTAAAAATATTAAGTCGCCATTTTGGAACAGAAGGAATAGTTAGTAATTCAAATTAAAATAAATCAAAAATAAGTTTAAACTCTCTTTTTAGCAGCTAGATCACAAAAAGATTAGACCACATAATTGTCTAACTTTTTGTGTACTGTGTTTTCAAGATAGGTGCAAATAAAGTAACTTTTCAGGGAAGAAACTTTTCTATCACTGTACAAAAACGAAATATGATCGGTTTTAGGGTGGTCTTATACATGTCTTTGAAGAGGAAATAAATTTTTTTATTCATTCCAGTGGAGATTTAGCTGACTTTATTCCCATCAGTTACATTGGTAAAGCTCCAGATATGCAGAAAGCAGACACTCTCCAGATGTAAAAAAAAAATTGTCTTTGCTTTTTTGACTGATTTACAGTTGTTATTGGTGTTTGGGGCATATTTGTTTTAAGCAGGAAGGGACTTCATTCTGCTAAACAAAATTTTATGCAAAGTTGCTCTGCAGAGAAAGCAAACTTGAAAAGCAGCATTGATAGGTCGGTAGTTGTAGGAGGGACAGGATTTGAAATCAACAGTGTGAGATGAGACTCTGGGCAGGGATAAACTGCTGCTTGGCAGCAGTAAATGTAAACGTCCTGTCTGCATTGCCATATGCAGAGATCTCACCTACAAACCTCTGCACTGGCTGAGAAGAAAGAATATAGTTTTAAGTACATTCCTCTGTTAGCTACCTAGCTGCAAGTAGTTTTCATGTTTCAGGTTCTCCATTTAAAACATTAGAGATACAGTTCTTAGAGTAAGATATGGAGAGCCAAGTCACCTGTCTCCCAGGTTTTTTTGTAATTAAATTGCTTCTCTGGTTTTGCCTTAGGACATACTGGAAAATAATTGTCAAAATGTGAGCTGAACAATAGAAGTCCTTTATTAGTAGATAACTAATGCTGGTGGGGCAAAACCTGGATTGAAATCAAGTGCTGTTAAGGTTAAAAAAAATTGTAAGGGATGGGATGTCTATGTTTTCATATTTAAAGTGCTTTTTGAACAAGTTCCAATGTGTTGGCCTTTCTGTATTTTCTGTAGGTTCTGTTATGATTATGTGTTGAATATTTCTACTCCTCGTGTTTTCAGTCCCCAAGAAGAAGGAGCACAAGGCATGACAGTATAAAATCCAGTTACCCAGTTTTCCTGCTGGAAATTGGAAAAGCTGCTTTTCGCCTGGTTTCCCGAGTTTATGCCTTTGTGGCTACCAGTATCCTTGTCCTGCAAGACTGCTACCAAACCTTGTGCAAACTCTACAGGGAAGAGGGGCCTCTTTGAGCTCAAGATTTTTACATATTTCATGAAAATAAGTGGCTAGGGGGCAGGACAGACACCAGTTGGGCAGTCACAAACTGTATGAGATTTAACAAGAGCAAGTGCCAGATTCTGCACCTGGGTTGGGATAATCCTGGTTCTATGTAAAAACTGGAGACAAGAGGCTGGAAAGCAACCTGCTGAAAGAGATCTGAGGGGTTGAGTTGATGGCGAGTTGAACATGAGTCAACAGTCTGACAACCAGAAGGGCGAGTTGTGCCCTGAGGTGCATCAAGAACAGCAATGCTGCCTGGTTGGGGGAGGTGATTGTCCCACTCCATTCTGCGCTGGTGCGGCCTCAGCTCAAGTCCTTGTGTACAGTTTTAGGAGCCTCAGTGCAATAAAAAGACCAAACTATTGGGATATGTCTAGAGGAGGTGCCCAAGATGGTGAAAGGCCTCAAGGGCAAGATTTACTAGGAATGGCTGAGGTCACTTGGTTTGTTCAGCTTGGAGAAGGGAAAGCTGAGGGGTGGCCACATAGCAGTCTACAGCTTGTTCAAGTGGGCAGTAGAGGCAGAGGTTCTGATCTACTTTCTCTGGTTACCACCAGCAGGATGCAAGGAAATGGAATGAAGCTGCATCAGGGAAAGTTCAGATTGGACCTTAAGAGCAGGTTCTTCTCTGAGAGGATGATTGGGCACTGCAAAAGGCAGGAAGGAAGTGGTCATGGCACCAAGCCTGACAGAGTCTAAGGAGTGTCTGAATGAGGTTCTTTTTCATATGGTTTATTTTTAGTTAGTCCTGTGAGGAGCAGGGAGTTGGATATGATGATCTTATGGGTCCCTTCCAACTGGAGATATTTCTTGATTGTAAGTCAACCACTGATGGAGTGGCAGGTAATGTCGAGCTGTGGGATGAAGACAAGGTGACCATTGTCACCTGGTCCATAGGCCGACAACTGGAAGACCAATTGCAGCTTGCAGACTCTGTGGCACTCTGTTGTGCACAAGGTGCGGGGGAGAGAGGGAGGGAAGGAAGAAGGAGAACACTGCATTTTTAGGAAAACAAAATTCAAGCAGTCTGTTGCTCAAGTCAGAAAGTTATGTTTGTAGTGATTCATCACAAGTCTCCTTTCTTGGTGTGTTGCCATTCACATGACTAAGGGAGGAAGTTTCCAAAGCTCCTGTCAGCTTCTGCAGTGGAATGTAAATATGACTAATACTGTAGCAGTAAGTATGTGAGAGCGGTGATAGGTCTTTGCAAAGCATTGCTATTTGCATAGTTACTTGGATCTCCTGAATACCCTCTAGCTCTTCAACTATTCAAAAACCTATGTTTGCTCTTTTGTTTTACCTACTGTTTTTCCCACAGCTAACACAGACTATGCTGGTTACTAGGGACAGCCTTCTAAAGATACGTCTCTTGAGATCCTGGTATTTGAGCTACAGACATGAAAGGAAAATAGTGTAGACACTTCTGAAATGTTCTTGAATATGCTCATGCCCCTAGGAGCTAGAAATACCTGCTGTATCATGCTTTATATGCAATATAGTATCTGCTTTATTTGTAAATATCTTTGCTTAGACTAAGAAAATGCTTATAAGCTTAGTTGCTCTGGGTGCTCCTTAGACCTGTAGGGAGTGCAGTGTATTGTTGCTGATTTTTTTTCTTCTTGGATCCTGATAATACCTTTAGTCTGGTTCTGTGGCTTTATCTCCTGTTTTCTGATTATTTCTTTCCTGGAACTGGCTGAATCCCTAGTACTGAGCTTTTCTTCTTTCAGGCTGAGTCACTGAACTTCTAGTTTAGTTGGACCCACCCATACCAAAAGCTGAGCGAATACAGTTGTAAAAGCATCTGCTTTAAAGACAAAGGAAGATTTGCCATAAACAGTGGAGAAACACCTTTCTTTGCTGGGAAAGCAGGCTGCCAGCACCTTAGAGTGCAGATTATTGTAACCAGTTTCATAAGCTAGTATTTGACATTTTCTGCTATTTTATCTCAAAAAAGTAATGTATGTGAGGACTCTGGCATCTTGCTGCATGCTCAGAAAGCAGAAGTGTGGTTGCAGAATATTGAACCTCTCCAGTCAATAAAGCATGATCTTTTTCTTTTATTAACTCTAAAATTTGTTTATTCCTCTGTCAAAGCAGCATGTCTTCTGTGAGACTGGCAGTCAGCAGTCACATCCTAAATTATTTCTTCATGAAGATCTTATGTGAAAACAGTCCCTTAAAATAGCAATGTCACTGAAAGCACCCCTTTTTACAATGGTTTCCTCCTCTTAAGGGAAAGCACTGCAGCTGGAACTATTCTGAGTTCCTGGACTATGTTTCATGATGGCAATGGGAAATTCTTCAAATACCCTCAAATTTCAGCTGCACCAAAGCATAATGTTGAGTGGATGTGCTTGTTTTTCCATCTGTCACTCCTCCTAAAAAGAAACAGGGCTCTTGAAATATACCCACCAGTGTAATGTTCATTCTCTTAGTGATATAGCTTTAACTTTGAGACAGATAGTGTTAATAGTTCGTGATGGTCCATCCTCCGGTTGCTACTCTGGTAGAGTGTTTTGAGGAGTGAGTATGCATCTTCAACAGATCCCTCTGCCTGCCTTCTTAGAGTCAGACTATGAAATATCTGATCAGGTCCTGTCTTAGGATTTCTTCCCAGGAGGACTGTAGCCTGAGAGATACATGTACTCGAGAAAACAAATAAACTAGAATTCAGAGTTGAGGAACAACTATGCAAATACCTGTTTAAATTTGAGTGTTCTGACCTCTTTTTGCCTGTTAATATGGAGGTTTCTTGGTGTAGTGTAGCCAAGGGGGTAACTTCAAAAGTAACTGACATTGGGGTCTTAGCATCTTCTAATTTTACAGAGGTTTTTGAGATTGTATTGCAAGATGATATTGACTTCAGATAAGCAACCCTACTTGGCTGTGAGCAAGGTGATTCTTGGTTCAAATGTTACATTATGGGAATCACTGCTTAGACTTCAAATTTCAGTTTCTGCTGTAGCAGTTCAGTTGACCAGATGAACACTTTTTTTTTGTTCCATTCTGGTTGTCATTCCTAGCTTCCCTATTAAAAAAAAAAAAAAAAAAGAAATGTATCTTAGTCTCTTTTCTTCTCAGGGGAAAAAAAAAGGCATTATTAGTGCAGTTATCTGAGAAGTAAAAGAGATTTCAATTTTTACCTCATTTAAGAGGAAAGATGTCACCAAGTTTAGGAGCATCCATCATTCCTGATATTAAAGTCATGACTTGTCCTTGTCTTAGCTTGGTCTGTCATGCAAGTGAAAGGGACATTCTGCTTGTGGTTTGATTTCGATGTTTGTTTTTTATTCCTCTCTTCAGACTTTACAGTAACCAGTTCTGATGCCTCTTTGGTAGCCTCATTCTTAGGGGAAAAGCCAGACACACCAATGCTTTGTGCAGTTATCCTCTGAATTCAGGTAGTTCTGTTTGGAAATAACTTTTGCTCTGTCTGGCTTGATAGTGAGTAGGTAGAAAAAGTCTTTCAGCTTCTATTGGGCTGAAGCAGTGTATTTGTATGTCTTTTCCTTGAATAGCCAGTATCTACTTCCATGCCATTTTCTTATTCCATGTTTCAGTGAAAATAGGGATAATGAACAATCAGAAATACCCCAAGAGTTGTTTTAGCTGTCCACTTATTTTACAAGCTTCTGCTGCTGAGATCACACTACTGTATTTATGCTGTGAAGCCAGTTTTTATATTGTATATATTGAGTTAGTGCTTGCAATTGGCTGGATAAGCAGCAGTAGCTCTACCAATTGACTTAATATAGCAAGAGTGGGTGTTTTTGTCCTAAAGACTGAAAATAGAATTTAATCCACCTGGAGTAGAGAGCCTCTAGTGGCACCAGCTGCATTTAGCTATGTTTTAGGAAGTTAAAGAGACTGCTCAAGATCATATATGCTAATATCTTAACCACCTTCATACTGCTAATCTTGTTAGGGGGAAAGATAAGTCCTATAAACCCATTAAAATTAATTTTTAATGCCAAGATTTTAAAAGCAATACTTGATCACATGACTTCCATAATGGCCTTTGTGCTCCAAGCCTCTTCTTCACACTTGAATCTCGTAAATTCTTGTGCATTGGAGCTGTCCCCCTGCTCATTTTGTGGTTCAGTGGAAAGAAGGCTGGGAAAGAATATGCTGTGGATGGCACTAAGAAAGCATGCAATAGCAAGTGGCAAGAATAAAGGATTAAGTTCATTATGTTGACTCTTATGGCCCTCTGGGTCCTTTCTATAGAGCAAATTTTTAGAGCTGTTCCTTTTTTTCTGAAGAGATCTGTGGATAATGATCTGGAGAAATAGCAAAGAATGTCTTCAACCCTGACTGAGAATATTCTATTCTGAATCAGGGAGCAGAAAACATAAGATAGATCAGAAATATGTTTATGACTTTAATAAGTGTTGGGTGTGAATAAGAAAAAGTAGTGTCCTTACTGTTTCTTTTATCTTCTACAGGCAATTTTGACGACTTCAGCTTAGAAGATGCACTTGGTAATTATTGCACTCACAAATTTTGGGAGGTAGGCGGGAAAATAGTGGATGCTCTTCTGAATTGTTTGTTGCCAAGTATCACTACATGACCAAGCATGAAACCTTCCCTGTGTATGTTTGGTTTAAACCTCAGTGGAACAATTCAGCTATGGGTATGTCAAGACGTTGACCACATAGAACTCAAATTTGTCTTTGGAACAATTAAGGATTTCTTTTAAGGGGAAGTTGTCTTGCTGTATAGATTTGATCTTGTGCTTTTCATTGTATAGGCATATATTTGTCTTCTGTGTAGCTTCTGAACAGTGTATTAAATAGTATTTAACTTTTTTTCCTCTAACCTTCTCTGACAGGAGAGATAAAGACGACAAAGAAGCCTCTTCCATCTCAGAAGACACCACCACAGGACTTTGGTGGGATATAATTGGCTTGTAATGTCTTTTATTGTAAAGTCAGGTGTAGTGTACATAATAATTTGAGAGGCATGAACTTTTCAACATAGTGGCATACAGGGTTGTGATATTTCTATAAAAGAAAGCAGTTCCCTAAAAGCAAAAGGATTTCCTAATTTTGGAGTCTCCTGGTAGTGCTTTCACAAATGTACTTTGTGATTTCACAAACTTAAAGACTCTGTGAAAATCCCTTTTATTGACTTTCAGTCTGCATGTTTGGAGCTTGCTCACCTTGAGCTGGCTCTTGACAGGTATCATGATCACCAAAAGCACCATGTCGTTTGGCAGATAGTGCCTGGTAACTGTGGGGCTCCTCTGTGGGCCGCTGTTGAATGAGCATGCTGTTACATTCTTGGTGAAAACATTGTGAGGTGGGTGCATTTTGTGTAAAAATAGTCTAAAACTAGTTCAGTTTTTGCATTACACTTAAAACTTCCCCTCTTTCTTTGTAGATGATTTTAACTTGGATGATGCTCTTCATCCTGGTAAGTATCATGTTTTCCTGGATACTGCTCAAATGTATTTGTGCAATGTCTATCCATGCTTTATGATGTAAATGTAATAAAGGGCACTGAGTTGATTAAGGTAGCAGACTGCAGATAAAATAATTACAGTCTAGTTATGTTTATTTACTTTCATTTTAAAGGTTCTAGATCACAAAAACTGTATGAATTTCAATAATTTCTTAGCCAAGTCCTACATGTTTCATTATTGTATCTTCACTAGATGGCACTAATTCCATAAACTATTACTTATGGAAGTAGTTTTTAAATCTGAAGTAATCTCTTCCTTTATAGAAGTAATTTTAGTAGCACAAGTAAACATCAATATGTTAGAAATAATTTGAGGGAAAATACTCTTTCCGATGTGAAGACTGTGACCAAATACAGAAAAAATTACTAGGATCTCTTATTCTCCAATTTTGTAGCAAGCTAAATGAAATGTCATTGTGGGGACCATATTTTTAATTCTATTCTTTTTAAGCGAGGTACCAACTTTTATTATTGGTTAAAACCCAGTAATTTTAAAAGAGAAAACAGCCAAGTAATCTGTACCTGATAGAAAAATGTAAAGAATTTCAGCCTTTGAAATACAATGTGCAAATTAAAATGATACTTAACAGTTCTTCTGTATATGTTTGTTATAGCAAGGATCTGACATACAGGTTAATATAGCAGAAACACTGTTAGTTGCATTAAAATACAGTGTTTAGCTAAAATAGCCAAACAAATACAGCATTAGTTAGTGAAAGGAAAAATGACATGGGGAAGTTTTGATACCATTTTTTTAGGTCAAATAGTCTTTCAAGGTTATTGCATGCTCTGCTTTTGGTCTCTTCACACGAGTAACTTATTCTAACTCTTAACTTGTTTACAGATGGTCCCAAGCCAAATCCTCCTGCAAAACCTAGAGACACTGGTAAGACTGACCTAACAGGAATTTCTGAACATTAGAAGAGTATTTGTTAATCTACCCCAGTTCCTTTCAACATTACTGTATTGTAGTCCAGTTTTTATATCTTAACCTTTTTTTCTTTTTTTTTCATTAAATCTCTCTTCTGCATGTAGATAACCCCAAGCGAGATCAACCTAAAGACACTGGTAAGGCTTCTAGCACAAACTCCTGAATCAGGGTTTTACTGTCTCAGTTACACTTCTACTAATTGATCTATGTTAATTGGCTGCTCTCTGTGTCAGATGTTGCACTGGATAAACACTGAGGATTGAGGAAAAGTTGTCTTGCAAATAAACTTTGCAGCAGTCTTGAAATTCCGTAACAAAGCTGTTGAGGCACTTTCACTTAAAAGCAGGATGGTGTAGGGAGGAGGCAGGATGGGACAGAGTCTGTGTGTGCTTGGGGCAGTGCTGTGCTTGGCTACCTGTGGTGGAGCACCCATGTATTGGATTGAGTTCTTTCGTCTTTACAAACTGAATCCCTTCTAGTCATGCCAGAAGGTAAATAGGAATTGCCTATGATCTTTATTCTTAAAGGATCTAAATTAAAGATAAAGATAAAGCTCTTTTTGTGGGGGGGGTTGTTGTTGTTTTTTTTTAAAGGCCCAGTTAAGTAATACAATTATTTGTATTTGAAAGATAGGCTTAAATACATGTCCTTCCCTGCCTGTTGTGATTTAGAGGTCTTTACCTAACCCAAAACAAAACAGATTTAGATCGATGCACTTGTGAAAATGCCATTATCCATGAACATTGTGGTAAAGAGTCCTTAACTGGAATGCAAGCCCTGGTTCTTGTTCTTTCTGATTTGCAGCAGATACTTGAATTTGGGTCTTGCATGCCTCAGTACAGTGCTTTCGCCACCCAACTAAAACATCCTCTGATGCAATACTTTTAATTTTGCTACTTGAAACATATTTGCTTTGCATAAACTAAGGATTCATTTGGCAGCAGAGGGAAGGAGGAGAAGGTCCCATGAGAGGGGGAAGGGAATGCTCCGTAAGGTAGGGTTCAGTGGAAAAGGAGAGGGACTAGACCAATGTCCTGTAATAAATTACATTTGGACTGTTTGTGACTAAGAAACCCAACTCTGAAGATTCATTCACAGTTGCAGCCTTGAAAAGAAACGATCCTTTCCTATCCGCATCCTTTCTTTGCTTTCACAGCATAGGGAGACTTGGGTTATTCCAGTTAAGTAGCTTATGGGGCTTCTTGCTTTCTTAGCCTGATTTGTGCTACTCTGCTCTTCTCGCAGTTGTTCAGAAAGTCTGGAGGCAGGAGTACTGCTGTCAAACTGTGTAGTGCTCAGCTGAAGGGACTTGACATTGTGAGGGCTTTTAAAATGTGAGCATATTGTGACTATGATGCTAAGCCTAAAACCACGACGAATTCAACTGAACGATCTTGAGAAAATTTCCATGTCATTATGTGCCTTGAGGTGTCTTTTCACTGAACTTAAAACAAGTAAGGTAATGCTATTTACATTTTTTATAGGCACATTTGATGATGCAGATCTGCTTGATGGCAATTCGCCAAAAGGAGGAGGTGATGGGAGTGGCAGCAATGGTAAGACAGTAGGTCGTGCTTCATATTGTTTCTGTGGTTACCTGAGTTTTCGATAAAATCTTGCTCCCAAGCTGGTTAACATGCTCTAATTTGTAACACCTTTAGTTCTGGTATCTGAAGCTTAAGAGCATATCTTTGAATTCAAAAGTAATGTGTTCCATCTCTACCAAAAAAACCCACCCCAAATAATTAAGAGGTAAAACTTGTCTAGAGGTAAAACTTCCATGATTTTTACTGTTATACTAAGAAGGATGGCTTTTTGAACTGAGGCATGAATGTGGTACTTCATAATTTGCCATAAATGTAGTTCTTAAAGTCCTCCAGGTGCTATTTTTAGATCTTCTGTGACATACTGTCAGTTTCATTTAGCTCTTGTAGTTAGAAGGTCTGAAGGTGGACCAGAAGAAGATCCACCCCATGTTCTCAAAAATATGCTTTGTCCCAAAGGATGAACTGATCCTTACACTTCCAGATGATTCTTAATCTTCACTTTTTACTGTGAGAGTGGTGAGGCACTGGAACAGATTGCCCAGAGAAGTTGTGGATGCCCCATCCTTGGAAGTGTTTTGAGGCCAACTTGGATGGAGCTCGGAGCAACCCAGTCTAGTGAAAGGTGTTCCTGCCCGTGGCAGGGAGGGTTGGAACTAGATGATCTTTAAGATCCTTTCCAACCATATGATTCTTTGTAGGGTGTATCTACTCTGAGCAGAGTGAAACCGTTTCATAGTTTGCCAGACTTTCTTTCAGTAATTTGACATTTCTAATCATTGTGGCTCGGCTGAGTACAGAGGTGGTCACTGCAACCAGGCTGCAGTAATGGTCATCCTTGGGATGTGTCTAGTCATCCCTGTGTGCGTTACTGAAACTTTATTATTTCCAGATCAGAGTTAGCTGAAGTGTCTTGATGGGGTTTGAGGTGTGCCAATGGTTACTGACTTCTTCAGAGAGTTATCCTAGACAGAGATTACCTATGCCACTTTTTTGGGTAGCTTTCACCTTTCAAGCAAGCTATGTTTGGGGCAGTATCTTGAAAATTGGCAGGGGCAAGAAATATCTGTGGAGACTTGTGGGGTGTTTTGATCTGCACGGGTTCCTGCTGCAATGGTACAAGTTGCATTGTGACCAATATAGTTAGTGTTTATAGAACATCTGTCTTGCTTGCAAAGAGAATTGCAGAAGTATTTAGTAAACGAGGCTGGGATTTTAGGAGAAGATAGTTGTTTCCGTGGAAATACAGCTGAGTGTTGCTCTGAAGATATACACTGTTCCTCTCCACTGAGTGTTCTGTGGTGGTGCACAAGTTGTTTAAACCAGATTTTACAAGTGCTCTGTGCTCATTTTGTAGAAGTGCTGAGTACTCAAGGCTGTAGTTGACACCACCATGGCCAGTACTTTAAAAGCAGAAAGTTTGAATGCCAGAGTATGGATATAATAGATGGTTTGTAATTTTGGATAATTAATTGACAAAAGGGTTGTCAATTATGATATGACTGTTCTTTAGACATGTAAAATGTAACCTTTCTGTTTGTTTTTACAGAACGAAGGGGCCAAACTCCAAATAATGGCCAAGAAGATGAGGGTAAATGCATGGATTTGTGTGTACGATGGCGTCTGGATATATGAAGTTTTTTTTCTGGAGTTTTCTGTGTTGCTCATCTTCTGCTAGAATGTTGACTACTGGGAGTGGGTTACAACTTAAAAATTTTTGTGGAATGTGGAATTCTTACTTTCAAGCTCTGCTTTCATAATCCTTTAAAATCTCTATGTTGCAAATAATTCATAATTGTTAAGGTCTCAGAGATGCTGGTGCAGTGATCGCACACATGGAAAGTAGATATTGCCATGAAAGGGTAGCGTTTTTAATTAGTGGAAATTAGAACAGGAGTGCTTAAGTTCCTTAACAACAGGCATTGCTAAGAAATCAATGGTTATAAAATGAGACAAATCACTTTTCATTATGCATAAAGACAGAAAGAGTTGATGATTACAGTTTCATGTAATTTCAGTTTAATGATTTTTGGAAGTGTTCATAGGGTTTACTTTGAAACAATACAATTTTGACATGACTTTCAATTCTGAAAAATGTATGCAAACCTGTGTTTTTTTCAGGTTCTCAGGGAGCAATAGCTGGAATTGTGAGTGCTGTGGCTGCTACTGTAATTGGAGCAGTATCTAGTTTCATTGCTTACCAGAAGAAGAAACTCTGTTTCAAACAAAGCGGTAAGAATTCTAAATTAATTTTATTTTCTACTGTCTAAAGAGATGTGTTTTTGGTTTTATATGGGGACTAGAAACTGATCCTATGCATAAGGTAGTTTTAGTAGCCCAGTGAATTTATGGTCACAGGGAGTAACCTAATCATCTAAGACAGGGTGACTGAAGAATGCCTTGCCTAAAAATTAGACTTTCAGAAATAGAAGAACTTAAGGCTTTACATTCCTAAAATAAAAGCACTTCTTGTTAAAACGTAAGCAGGAGAGACTGCAAGAAAATACTTCTTAAGGAAAATTGATTGGGGATTTGAGACTATTTTCATGCTGAAAAAATACCTTGTCATTTCTAATTTTGTAAATTTTACCTTTGTCTTGCTATCTGCTTTATTTCCATCTAAATAAGATATAACTTAGATCAGAGAACTTTGGGAATCCTGTGGGTGATAGGAGGGGCAGAAGCTTTGGTTTTGTCTCTTTCAGTCTTTCTGACTCTTTGGTGTGGGGTAGTGCAGTCATCCTGCCAGGCACTGCTGTTTTGTAATTTGGGAAATTTGGAAACCGAGTAACATCTCTACCATGCATGTTAAAGTGAACATGCAGGCAAAACAAGGACAACTCAACTACCAGCAAGTAGCCCATTTTCTTCAATGCTGTTTCTTATGTCAAATTATCTCTATTAATAACTTTGAATATAAGAGAATTTGAACGCTAAACATCTCTTTGTTTCCCAGCAGATGAAGAGAATGTGAATATGGATAGCCATAGGGGAGCACAATCTGAGCCACCTGGTAAGACAAGAATCTAGATGGAAAATCAATTTTTGATGGGGATCCTATTAAATGCACTTTATTGACATCTAACATAGTGGAGAAAATTATTTGCACTGTTTTGTTTAAAAAAAATACTTATAACTATCAATTTTGGCAGAATATGATCCGGCAGTGTGTCCTGATGGCCAAGAAGGCCAGTGTATCAGAAATTCTGATACAATTTCTGACTTGTATCAGAAATTGTGTGTCCAACAGGACTAGGGAAGTGATTGTCCCTCTGTGTTCAACACTGATGATGCCACACCTTGAGTCCTGTGCTCAGGTTTGGGCATCTCACTTACAAGAAAGACATTGAGGTGCTGGTGTGTGTCCAGAGAAAGGCAACAGAGCTGGTGAAGGGTCTGGAGCCTCTTAGAAGAATGGACTGAGAGAGGAGCTGGGAGAAAAGCCTGGAGAAAAGGAGGTTCAGGGGGCACCTTATTGCTTTCTACAGCTACCTGAAAGGAGGTTGTATGGAGGCCTCTTCTCCCAGGTAACAAGTGATAGGACAAGAGGAAATGGCCTCAAGTTGTGCCAGGGAGGTTTAGATAGGATATTTGGAAAAAATTCTTTCCAAAAGGGTTGTCAAGTATTGGAACATACTGCTCGGGGAAGTAGAGGAGTTGCCATCCCTGGAGGTGTTTAAAAGATGTGTAGATGTGGCACTTGGGGACATGGTTCCGTGGTGGACTTGGGAGTGCGGGGTTAATGGTTAAACTCGATGATCTTAGAGGTGTTTTCCAAAATAAACGATTCTGTGATTCTATGATTTTACCATGACAACAAACTTGGAACTAACTCAGGAATTGCATTGTGAAAATGTGGCCACTCTTCTCTGGTTTTTTATTCTTTGAAGAGATTGGTTGATTGCCTTGAGAAGTCATTGAAGTACAGGAGCTTAGAAAAAGTAAAGAACTGAATTTTGTCTGCAGAAGTATTATTAAAGACAGTTATGAAAACACAAGCCTGCTCCTTTAGTGTAATACATAACTGCAATTAGCAGTTTATTAGTCTGTGTTGTTTCTGATTGGAATCTGAAACCTTTTCTGATTACAAACTGATACAGAACTCTGCAAGAATGTATATTAAAAATAATTATGTTTGAATTGTTGCCTAAAGAGACTGTGGAGAAAAAGGCTCCAGGCCAATTTAGTGTATAAGATAAGATAAAAGGAGTTGGTCCTTTAATTAGCCTCAGGCCAGGGGAATACACAGCACATGTGTGCACCCACATTATGATTTTATAATAAGGTCCATCCAATCCCAGGTCTATCCATCCCTGGTTCTGCCCCATTCTGCCCCCCGACATGCCCCTTTAGGAATTGAGTTTGGGATCTTTGGGACCCCTTCTTCCTCATCTTCATCTTCTTCACAGCACACATAGTCCTTGGAGCTGCTCCAGAGTTCTGGGCTTGAAGGTTACTGTGTCTGTGTGATACCTCCTCGTCCAGGCTTAGGGTACTGTATTCTTAAACAGAAGTGTTTTTCTACAATTCTACCTTGAAAAGAAGACTAAACACGCTAACAGAATTTAGAGGGATTGATATGAAATGGGGTAACAGGGTTGGGTATGTGTAACTATTATGCTACAGGGTAAGGAGTGTAATACAGCTACATTAAAATCTGCATTTACTACACAACTACTGCTAAAATCTACAAAAGTTAAAAAAATCCAAAAAGCTCTGAGGCATCAGAATAGAGATGTAACTACACTGGAGGCAAGGAGGACTAAAGTCGCTTTGTTGTAACTAAAGCATTTTCTGTTGTGAACAGGGAATGATTCTTGTATGAAAGAACCATCACGTAATTGATCTTCCTACAAAGGTGACACCTGTGAAAGGTCTCTTTTAAAGCAACAAAATCTTTTACAGCCTCACCCTTCACTTATGGTGGTCTAGGGTACTTGGCTGATAGAACAGGTGTTTAGCTCTGGGAAAGCCATAGATAGTTCTGGAGGAAATGGTATAGGTGAAAACTTGGTCTTCTAGCCCTTGTGACTGGTCAACAAAGGAAGAAGTAGTATAACCTCGTGCTGAAGTTTACTGAGTGTTTTTGAAATACTGAATATTAAAGTACCAAAGCAGTATATATTTTCAGTATATTCTTCTGTGAGTTCAAAATCTACAGAATTATTTCTGGGTTTTGTGTAATTAAAAAACCCCAACAGTTATATCTTATTTTTCTCAGGTATTTCATCTGTTTGCTAAAAACTTTCATCTGGCTTATGGTCATCTTTATAAACACTTTTCCTTTAAGCTGTTAAATGTATAAAACTCTCAAGGGCACATCATTTTCTTGTGACTGGCTGTCAGGACTGGAGATAGGCAGGTATCCTCAATTCAGCGATGCATTAGTGAAGCAAGTAGGATCATTCAAAGACCTATACCAAAGGCAGTTAAAAATATGAGTTGTAGTTGGAATATCCTAAAATTTTGTCCAAGATTCATCAGAACTCAAATGTGAAATGTGTCAGATGATGCATATTTTATTCTAACCAGTAAAGTCAAACTCAGGATGTTATCATATATGATTATTCCTGCTTACGTATTGATGTCACATTACATCCCATATTTTATACCTCTACTATATTTTGCAGACAAGCATGATCATGTTTTGAGCCAAGAAATTGGGCATCCATGATCACAATGGTGCTGCTCCTGATCTAAGTTCTGGGAGTCAGCAGATGTCAGCTCTGCTTCTGCTAATAGAGTGCTGGTGTACCTACACAGCTTCTAGTTTAAAAGAGGTCTTTCATGAAGCCAGGTCAGATGGCACAGCAGAATAGATTTATGTTTTTAAAATTTTATGTAGGCTTATCTTTGACTTCCTGAAAATATAGTTAACCTAGACACCTTGTTTCAGTAACCTACTTTTCCATTATTTACACAGTCTGTACTCCATTTCATGTTGGCATCCACAAAAACTGCAAGCCTGAAACTGCAAGTGTAGATAGATTCCCTGATGTAGTAGGATGTGGTTATTTGAGTGAGAAATCTGGCATGTAATATACCTTGATGTGCAGTGTTTTGGCTTCACAGAATCAAGCTCTGCTTACCTGAATTTATCACACAGTGCCAAATGCCTACTGAAACTTTGTTGTCTGCATGAACTATTAAATAACTTATAATGTCCATGAACTTAGTGTACTAATCTTGAATTGTTTTTCACTTCTTAGTTCAGCGCACACTTCTGGAGAACTAAATTAAAGAAAACGTGATGAAGAACAGATCTTGAAACTGGATAGAGAGCCTGCCTTCTGCCTGAAAAAAAAAAAAAAGGACACAAAAAAAGCATAAAGTAAACAGCAGAGTCTGAAGTTGCATTAGAAAACTGTTCTTGTTTGAAACATCTCTGGGAGTGTGACTTAGACCTGAGTACTTCTGTATGGTTAGCCCTGTGAAGCATTGTTGCACACCAGTACATGGCCTTAATGACAGGAGTGTAGAAGTATGTTGTGCCTTTACATTCTTGCCTTTGCTCCTCTGACAACTGGGTGTGTCTCAAGTGCATTCAGTATGTTTAACTTTTCCTTACCTCTCCAAAAACAATAAGCAGTTAAGGTTTTGTTATGTCATTGTTTTCAGGCAGTACAAGCATTTTTTTTAATACCCTGTGTGCAGTGGGTGTGCCAGCCAACCAGCCTGGTGTATATTGTGGGCACCGGAAAGCAAGTGGCTCACTGTGTATGAATGATGGAGCTGGGTGTGGGTGCTGCTGACCCAATCTATGTAGCTGCCTGGGTCAGCCACCAGGGAAGAGATACTTGTTCTTGAACATTCAAGAGACAAAAATTCAGTTTTGTTTTTGCATTTTTTTTCATTGCATCTGTCTGGTACAGATTGACAAAACCCAAACTTAGTGCATACAGACCCTTCATCCTTTCTGGCTCTTCCTGCTTTGCGAGTACTGAGCTGGTCAGTTGTGGAAAAGCCTTATTTGCACATCAGAGCCATAGCTGGATTTTGTATATCCAGCAAGATTGATATTTGGCATTGTCTAAACAGTTGTGGCTGAAGCACTGGGGAGTGGGGATTAACATCTTTAGACCTCCATAACCAAAAGCTTAACATAAAATAATGTTGAATTCAGAAGGTGTATCATACACATGGAAGGGACAGAAGCAGTACTACAGGTCAAAAGTACAAAATAGCAAGACTGACCAGAACAACCCAACCCCACTCCACAGGCATCCACTGAACAGTATAAATAGCATACGTGTGAGAAGTGCTTTTGGACTTGTGAAGGATTGCCCTTGGGATGACGACCTATGACTGCATCCTTATTTGAAAGCACTTGAGAACTGTGCTGTGGCTCTTGAAAGTGAAAGGAAGGTTTCAAGGATCTGTGGAAACATGGAAAACTGCAACTCATAACAACTAAAGGACTAAATCTGGAATAATAACTAGTTCTGTCTGGAAGGAATGGTCTGACCAGTTTTGTTGTCTTTCATTCTAATTGTTTTAAATTTTCATGCAGTTTTACAATATGTGTCTTACTAATGTGCTTTAGCCACCTGACAAAATTCTACAGGAAGATGACATTTCATGGAACATCTTAGAAGTCATTACTGAATTTGGATATTAAACCTGTAAATATATCTGTACATTCAAATATGAATGTATGCCAGGGATAATTCATTTAAGAATTTCTTGTACATGTTTCTTAGCTTACAACAAAGCTTTACACAGATTTTAGTATTTTGTTATGGAATTAATTTGTAAGCCTCTTGCCCCACTTCTGCTTTTGGTACAAAAGTGCTAAAACCTTTAAGTGTGTTTGAGAGTGCAAAAGTGGTTATTATATAAACATATGCTCTATGTAAATACAAAGAAACGTCCTGCTCACCTGAATGAATAAATAGGTATCTCATATCAATGCCAAGTGTGGAGAAAACAGAAATAAGTCAGAGTTTGTTAGAAATAGAATGGCAGAGGAAGCTCAAAATAACTTTTAGCTAACCAGATTTTTGAATCCTTTTTCAGCTTTTGCAAGCTTAAAAATTACTTATTAAAATCTCCTATCAACATTGTGATTTTTCTAAAAATAAATTTAAAAAAAAAGGTTTATGTGTTTTTCTCCTTAGTAGTTCTAAAAATACAAAACTTTTGGTGCTCAACTAGAGAAGGAACCTTCAAATAGTTTGTCTTCCTGCTCCATCAGATGTTCAGATTTATTTCTTATAGACATTTTAATTATTTTAGAAGAAAGTTGTCCAATAGCAGTAAAGTTTTGAGTTGCTTTCACAGGGTGCTTACCAGTATGAAGTGCAGAGAAGACATCTCTGTGAAGGACAGGCATGGCTTTTGAAGAAGATTTGATAACACAGACTCTACTGAAAATATGGACAGCAATAGAAGGTTTAGTATGGGCAAACTAAACACTGTTGAGTGTTCCTCATCCAGATATTATCACATCCTTTAGAAGCAGACACTTTTGCAGGGCCATGCGTTGTCTCACCTGAGGTGAGAGGACCATAACTGAATGAGATAATAATGCAGGGGTTGCCAAGTGCCTAAATACTAACAAATTTACTAATTCTAGTTTTCAGTCTAAATAAGCATAGGCTACTGCATGAATTTTGGGGGCAACTATACTCCACAAAGCAGGCAAACCTAAAGACAGTGTTTGCAGGGAAAGGCTGTTGTAATGCTGATTTCAGCATCTCTCATGTCTAGTTTTGCCCCCTTACAGAGTTGTGGAAGAAGGAAGGAAGAAAGACTCGCTGCTGCCACCTAGGAAGAAAAGTTTAAAGAGAAAGCTTGAAATTATAGGCTTTTCTCTTGTTGTGAGAGGCTGCCAATTTATGGATTTCTGTTACTTATCTGTGGATAAAACGTAGCAGTTCCCTTGCAGCTATTGGGATATTAATTGCTATGTTGCTATTTGCCTCACTACCCCTAGAGTCTTTGATTTGTTTCTTCCTTGTTCAGCTGCCATTACATTACATAGCTAAATATCCTAATTCATTATTTGTCCCATTCCTTGGCACAGTAAACGTTATCAGTTAAAAATTATTCATCACCCTAATTAAGTAGTTTTATGGTCATCTTCCACAGATCAGCTGCTGCCCATCATGGCCTTATGACCTGCGATGACTTTCAGATCCAAATTTGGGAATTAACGTTCTAGTTTCTGTATAAGTATCAGTCAGATATAGTGGAATGTACAGTGGAATGAAAAAATACTGTCATTTCTAGGCCCAAACTGCAAGTTCACCCTGGTGAGGTACCTTTACTATTAAACTGAGTTAAAATGGATGGCAAAAAAGAGCTCTATCCTATCCTTGTGGCACACCTTCTTCAGTTCTGTTTTTTCTTCAGTCTACCTCCTTTGAGGACAAGGAGTTACCATCAGTAATAGGAGGAAGAATAATCAAAGCAGGATGTTTTTGTAGAATAATACACCACTTTAGCTTCTACAGGGTAGATGTGGTGGCAGTTTAGTTCATGCTCTCAGTGGAAAAGACTACTTTAAAAATATTTTGATGGCTTTCAAGTGCGATGCCCATTTCAAATACTTATCCAGACAAATTCATCGGGCTGTGGAAATGAAAGCAGGCAATTCTTAAGCATGAAATTTGGCAGCTTTTTACTGTAGCTCTTATTTCATCTCATTTCAACGTGAGTCCAAATTTTGAATGCTAAGAAAAACATTTTAGTGCACTCTGGTTTCAGTGTATCTTGGGCTGAATTACGCCCTCAGTGCCACATTTCTGTGCCTTTTTTTCCACTAATTAGGCCACCATCTAAGCCATACTGTTCTGTGTGTGTTTTTCACTTGACAAGATGATGAGACAAACCCTAACCTTTTTACAAACTGAAAATATTATTTTCTTTTTGCTCTTTTCTGTTACACAAATGTAAAAGATTTGTTTGAAAGGAAGTGATTATTAGGAATAGAAAAAGGACTTGAATGGAGCAAAAATACATTTTTTTCAAATCTCTGCATTTGGAGTACTTTAAGAACCAAAGAATAAAATACATGTTCCTCCATCTGCTTGTGGAAAAAACATTAAAGTTTCAGCTAGTGCATAGTAATTGTAATCTGTTGACAAGAAGTTGTATCACCAATTCACTTGTGTGTTTGGCTTGCATTTAAATTAATGCCTAATATTACTGGATGCTTCAATATTTTAATTAAAATACTTCTGGTTTTATGACAAAAGATGAGTAGTGTAGGATATTAGTGGCTTTCCCAAGTAGTTCTACTGTATAATTCAGTTCTTTCATCTCCTATAGACGCATACAGCAGGTTACCCATGCCAAAGAGAGCAGTGTCTAACCTCTGCCCACAGGAAGGATGGAGCTGCCAATGTGATGAGTTGTGGCTGTCCTCTTTTTCCTTTTTAGCTTCTGTCATCTAAGAGAGGCCTGACGGGCAAAAAGTAAGTGGCATAAAGAATAGGCAAACATGCTGTCTCCTTTTCTACCCTCATTTGCCATTTCTAAAATATTGGAGTTTTTCTTGAAAGAACAAATTTTAAAAAAAAGATAGAGTTCATCCACCTTCTCAGGTGAATAATAGTCAGAACTCTTTTTTTCCCTTTAAATTGAAAGCAATGGGTCAATGATATCTCAAAGTATTAAAACAAATATATGGTCTGGTGTAAGGCTATATATTTCTTTTTAATATATAATGTTTTTTTATTTGCTGTCTTGGGCGAGCAGTTGCATGTTTTTGACAGAACTGAGATTAATGAGTTCCTGCAGCGCCTCCAAGAACAGAAGTGAGATAAATATTCAAGACATCCTGACTCCTACTCTAGGTCCACTCCTTCCAGTGCTGCCTTTGTATTGTTTTATTTAACTATACAGAGCAGTAGCTGGCTTCAGAAGAATTAGAGAAGATGTACATCATCTTCAAACTTCATCTGAGAATGTTCAATATCACAATAAATTTGTATCACTCTCAGGTGAGAGAATGCATTTTGGGAAGACTTCACTTAGAAGAGCAACTGCTTTGAAATAAAGCTACTGAACATGAGGTGCTTGGACTTGCTTGGGACTAGTACATAGCCTTGCTAACTTTCCTGTTCCTTTCTGGCAAATTCAACACTAATATGAAGATTACCACACACAGGCCTGCTTTTGGTATTCTTGAAAAAAAATAAACTGGATTTACGGGATTGCTCATTTCATGGTATAGTTCTTGTTTCAACTGGCTGACAAAGTCACCTCTTCAACCTAAATGTCCCTAACTCTTTGGAGATGGAGCAATTGGCCCTGACATGGACAATGATGATACACAAATTGAACCTTAAAGCTTCTATTAGTAGCTTAAAAATAGTTAAGCCATGTGATACAATAAGCCAGACTTTTATAAAACATTCTGCTGGTTCAAATTTGGGTGGGAGGAGTTGACCTACTCTAACATCAAGCTTCTTGAAAATTCAGTATCATCTGGTTCTATCAGTCCAACTTATGTTGTTGCATCTGTTTTTTGTAGTTAGCATAAAAGCATGAATTCAGTTGTATGTTCTAGTTAACAGAAATGCAGTTGGGGGCAGCCTGTGCCCCACGTTAAACTGAATCACCCAGCACCACCACAGGTGTTCAGGTTGGCCATTCATGGAGTAGAGTCCTGAGCTATTTGCTGCCCTAGACAAAACAGCACTGACAAAACCCCCTGCAGCTTACCCTCCAGCCCAAGAGAGGATGCACACCAGTCTTCTTGCTGGTGCCGAACACCAGTGTGATGGCTGCAATCCAGTTCAAAGGACAGAAGCGTTGGCGTATGCATTTGCCAGAGAGAGGCTGTAACAGAACTGGATTTAATCACATCAGTGATTTTAAAGTATGTCCATGTACAGATAGATGCATGAATTTTGTTCATTTTCCAAAGCTTTGTATCATCACACTTGGTGCTGTCTGACATCTCTCTCCATGCATGGACATGTATAATTAAATACAAAACTAGGTCAATGGAAAAAATCATGATGAGCAATGTTTATTTTACCTTGTGAAGATAAGAGTCCACTGGGGAGCTGAGTATGCTTCAGTTGTGTAGTCCAACATCACATTTTACATTTATAAAATTAGTTTATAAAATTTAAGTTTATAAAATTTTTTTGTCATCCCTCTTTAGCCAGTTCCCAAGTCTCTGCAACGCAGATTCTTGGCCTCTAATTCCCTAACAGGGCAGCCTGAGTTAGGGATTAAGGCGCTGGCAGTATTGCCTTTATCAGTAGTTGTTGCTCAGCCAAGAACCGAGCAGGGAAGTGGTGCTTTGAGGACAGAGTATGTCTGAGTGATTCTTTCAAGCACACTTCAGAGAAAGATGGTCTCCTCTTACAAACTACTTGAGCTCTCACAGCACCACACCCTGCTTTGAAGGCAAGGATGTCAAACAGGTTGGTTTTCCCTTGCGGGGAGGAGGTGGACTCAGAGCATTCTGGCTCCCTCCTCATTGGGTGCTGCCGTTGCTTCCCCCGCTCTCCATGCTTCCTGCCTGGGTAATAAATAGATTTCTTGGAGCACAGTTCGCACCTCAGGTGCTGCTCACAGCTTGGCCCTAGCAGGGTTGTTTGCTTTTGTTACTTGTCTTGTATGCAAACAGGTTTTCAGGGACTTCTCTCTGTTCTGCATTGCTCGGATGTGATGGTGAGAGACCTCTTTGGGCAGAGGCGCTGATTCTAAGTGTGTCCCTCAAACCTTAGCACTGCCATTGCAACATCATCACTTGGAAAAAAACAAGCGGTACAATCAAGGCACTGCATAGAAGAGCATGGAGAAATTCAGAAGTATTTTTCTTTTGTGCTTTGGCTTCCTTCTAGTCCATGTAAGAGGTAAGTGACCTTTGCCTTGGCTTATTTCTAGAGCATGATCGTTAAAAATGAAAAAAAAAATCAAAACCTTAAACTCCAACCCCTAAAACAAATATGTTTGTTTATTTGGAAATGCTTACTGCCTTTTGTTTGTTTGTTTGTTTCTACCAATTCATGAGAAGCATTCAAGAGTGTTTACATAAGTACTTCTGCAGTTTCTAAAGATATATATATCTCTTGGATAATTGCTCATAATAGCCATGCTAGTTGGAGTTTCTTTTTTATAATATCTTATTTTCTCTATTATGTTGCTCCCATAAAATTATTCACAAGCTCAGACTTGAGTATAAACTTTTTAAATGGAAGCGGTAAAATAAGAGCTTCCAGAGGAACTTAAGAGTTTCCAAAGAGATCCTTAGTAGAATACTGATTTCATGTTTTAAAGCTTTTCTCGGTTATTCATATCTTGAAACATAGTTTTTTTTGTAAAAACAAATTCTTATTCCGTTTAAAGATTCTCATGCTTTTGTATTGGTGCATATGGTTAAATAATTATAAATAATTGATTGATTAACCTTAGTCTATGCATTCAGCACACAAGCATACATTTTTTCATGCAGGATTAGGTAAGAATTGAATACATTTTATGTACATATTTTTGATGAACAAATAGCAGTCAGGAAAATGTAACCCTTTCATCCTTAGTCATTTAACTATATTCAAACACAAGGTCTTTTAGCAAAACATTCTGTTAAACTTTTCTTGATGTCAAACCAAATAGGATCATCCTTGTGTGCACTTGCCATATGGTGTACTTGTAACCTTTTTTGTGTATTAGCATTACTTCAGAAACTTGTAGTGCAGTGTTTGGCTGCAGGAAGAAATCTATCATTGATCACTAGTTCCAAAATAGCTGCTGCTGCTGCTGCTGCTGATTCTCCCACCACCCCTGATTGAAATGGAGTCCGTAGGAGACCTTGCAGTGATGAGCAAGGAAAACACTTTGCCTTAACTTAGTGCAATATTTTGATTTTAACAAATGAGAAATTATTTAGAGGTCTTCAGCAAGTAACATTGCATAGAAAGAGCAGAGCAGTAGGACTGTGCTGGCCTGCATGTAGTGTGTTGTGAGCAGTGATGATTCATGCAGTCTCTCATCTCTGGCATGCAGATTTTCTTGTTCTGGAGGACTGTCTTATGTTGAGTATTTCTGTTCAAATAATCTGAGCATGAGCAAGCCAATTTCCATATACTCTACCATTTTAATTATAAAGGTAGTCAGCCTAATCATTCTTGATTTATGCATGTCTTAATTTAGAGCCTGTTCAGGCCCTGCTTTGGGGGAGAAGTCATTGCTGAAAGTTGCTGTGAGCTTTGGGCACAGTCTTATGACTCTGGAAACTATTTAATCCACTTTGATGAACAAAATTAGTTGTTTTAATCTATAGCAACAGACACTGAATTTCATCATCAAAGTATTCACCATGTTTCAGGGGACATATACAGGAACCACTTCTCAGTCCCCAATCAAGACATGATATGAGAAAGGCTTGACCATGCTGGTAAAAAGCTGGTCTGACTCCTCATGATAGAAATGTCTGTAGCATTATTCACCTTTTTATATTGCAGCTTAATTCTTTTCTAAGATGTAACAATCCGTGATAACTTCTAGAAACTACTGGGCCACCACAGTCAGACCAGACTTCTCATTTAGCACTTCCTTTTTGTCTGGCTATCTTCAGTTGGTTGGCTAGATTGCCTTGATGGACACATCTCAACAGAAGAATGGCATAAAGAAGGACCATATTGTGCAAGGAAAGTGAGACCTAATACAGTTCAGAAACTTACATGTGCAGTGCAGTCTTCCATTTTAAGCTACTTTGGCTTTTGTAATTTCCAAGCCTAGGTAGGTTGCATGAAGGCTCCCACGTAAGTTGAGCTGCAGCAACTAATTGAATGGCTTTTGCCCCAATCCAAATTAAACCTTCCACTGGAGTTCATCCCATGTCAGTTACTGAGGCTGGACTGACATGTGGTAATCCAGCTTGGGCTGTGTCTACATTGCCCACTTAGGCTGTGCTGAGACACAAAGTTAGGTTCCTAGCCCCCCAGTAACTGAGATCATGCACTTGTTGGAAACATAGTGTGGGTCTTATTTGGGCCATAAACCTGTGTGCACACCTGCAGTGGGGAAGCAGTGCAATCTGAGGGCTCTCTCCTTTATGGACCTGGAAAGCAGATGAGACTCTCGCTCAGACCTGACTGTCCAGAATGCTCCTCAGGTTCCCAATATAGACATAATCTATATGTCCATGGTCTTTAAGGTCAGCTGATAGATCATGTGTTTACTTAGTAACAAGGATGGTGAAAAGATTGATGTCTGAGATGCCTTAAGTTTGCTCCATCAGGTATGGAATGCTACACAGGTAAAGGGAACAGCATTTATTGCTAGCCAGTAAGCCGCATACCACTGTTCAGCTAAGGCTTACTAAGTTTTTGACTCAAAATTAATTGTATTCTTGATTAATTAGCTGGGCACTTTATGGGGAGAAAATTACAGACCTCTTTGGATTTGAGACACTATGTGACTTAGTTCTATGAATAATGTAGTTTTCACTTGAGTTAAGCAGAATAGAAGAGATGAAAAACACAGTCCTGTTTTTCTTACTGCTCCATCTCACTCCAGTCCTCACTGTTGTTCTGTGTGAGGTCCCTGTGCACATGCTGAAACACTCATGGGAGCGAGGGCAGGGAAGTATCAGACAACAAATTCTCTCCTGCTGACCTCCAAAACTGTTTCACTCCCAATACCAGAACGGCCATTATCTGTAGGCATGTCAGTGCTATCGTTCAAGGTTGTGATTGCAGCGAGATAAATTGACATACCTGAACTGGTTGAAACAGTAACTGAAACACTAATGGCAGAGTTGTTGCAACATCAGAGCTTGAGAAGAGAAAAAAAATGGGGTAGTTACTCAGCTTCTCAGATTCACTTTTCAAACATTGCAAGCCTGGCAGCAGTGCCCAACCTGCCTGTTTTCAGTATGTATTTTAACTCTTTTGCATCAGCAATTGTCAATCCCTTTCCATCCCATGATGGTAATTAAAAAAACAAATGTCAGAATTCTTTCAAGATTAGAAATCAATAAAAATAGGCCCTTAAGAGAAGGGAGGTTCAGATTGTCTTGATTAGTCTTCCTTCATTTCCACAGGCTGACATCTATGAATGTTATGGGAAAATACTGTCTGAAATCTGATCTGTAGCACAGTATCTCATGAAGGCAAACACCGTCTCAGATGATAGAAAGGGCTTGGATGAAAATATGAAAATATAACAGTCCCACTTCCATTGAATAAGCTTTGTCTGTCATCAATAGATTTTTAATTCCCGAGGAATTTATGTAGGAAGTAAAATCACAGCAATATATTTTTAAAGGGCAGCAATGCTCCATATTAAATGAAAACAAAGGCCAGAGTAGGCACTAAGATTAGCAGAAAAATTAAAGCAAAGTCCTTCCTTACATCCCAGGTCTCCTTCCTTACATCCCAGGTCTTACAACACCAGCGGTGAAGGAACCAGGAGCATACACTCCACATCAGGAACAGTCCTGAGTTAACAGCAACAAAGCCCCCAGGATCACAGTCTATATTGCATCAAAACTGCAGCTCCATCTTGCAGACTACCATCTGCAAGGAGCAGAAGTTGAGATATGAGCCAGATATTTCTATTCACAAATGTCTTACAGACCATTTTGTTTCCTGAGTGCAATGGTAAAAGAAAGAAACTGGCTCTTTGTTCATAAATCCAACCAAGATATTCACAACATTTTGCATGACCATGACAAGGCTCTTCATTTCAGTTCTCTGTGGAAGACTAAGCTGTCAGATCCTCTTCCAAGTCTCTTGCTTCTGAAATTCAGATACAAACTGATGCTCCATCACCCTCTGTCCAGGGTTATTCTGAGAGGCTTCTCTGTGCACTGTGGTGGCACGTGCAGAGGCTTCTTCAGCCCTGAGAAGGGAGCCTAATTGTATTTGTCATTTACTCTCTAGAGACTTTGTTGCTGAACAGACCTGCCTGCTTATATCCAGCAAATCTTTCCAGCATCATTCTTTTCTGGAAAACATGTTCTTAATGGCATGAAAGAGAGAAGAGGCAGGCCTTGCTTTATTGCTGTCTTGCATTGTAAACACACAAACAAAGAATCTGTATAAAACACCCTGATCATCCACTTCGATTTGGCAATATTACTAACCCCTTTGGAAGTAATATAGATATTTATGCTGATGGGCTACTGTGACTTCAGGGGGCACAGAATTCCTGAAACAAATTCAACTTGATGTTAAGTTACAGGATAGCACTACTGAGATCTGTGCTACCCCTGCTGAAGATCTAGAGGTATTTTGCATGTATTTTACCAGTGTACTTGGTATGTCCAGAGCAAAGCGAATATCATAGAAGATTTTCTTTCATGTTTGATGAGACCATGCTGCACAGAGCTAAAGCAATACTGCCACTCTTGCTTTATTAGCCCATCTAAGTTGCTAGTAATTATTTAAATGTGTTCTTGTTTGAATAAGTGAGACAGTCCTTTTAATTTCCCTTGAATTCAAACTACAACCAGAAGTGACCTAGCTAAAAACATGAAGCCAATAATCAGGCCACATGTTGTGGTCTATATACTGGATCTTAGGTCTTAATTATAGATTTTAAAGCATACTCATTTTCCACCCCAGCATCTAGGAGTTGTAATGGCAATCATTGTTTATGAAACTAAAGGGTCATGAAGGAAAAACAAGCTACAGTAACCTCATCAGGAAATATGGATCATGAGGGTATTACATGAAAGAAATAGTTCCTGCTAATTGAGATTTTGTCCACAGTGTCCACTCTGGGGTGTAAACTTTAGTGTTCTCCCAAAACTTTTCTTAAATGAGTAATTTCCTTTAAACAAACATAATTGCTTCCTGAATAAAGTTGGATCAATGAAAGGGTGTGTTCTGAATCATATGCATGGGAA